ACTAGCTCCCTATTGTTGAATAAAGAAAGCCCTAGTCTGAGATCCTTCTAAGTGATGATTGAGATGAGGAACAAAAAATAAAAACATAGCTTGACCTCTAGGATAGTGGCTCTTTTGGGGCAGGAAATAAAACACAGAATTTCTTTAAGCCAGAGTCCCATGATCATTTGTAATTGCACAGATTATAAAATATTATAAAATATGACTCAGTAAATGGCCTGGGATGTCACAAAAGAGATGATCAGTCCCTTTTCTTCTGGAAAGAGCTGGAAACAAGTCTAGACCTAGAGTGAAGGGCATTTGAACCATTGCTCTAGATTTAGTAATCATTTTTTGTAGTATAAATAGGTCACATGCAGTAGTTTGGACATATTCATATGAAGATATTTGTTCTGAAATCAAAGTTAGCAAAGTATTCCATGTTTTATCTTGCAACTCTGATTTTAAGTGTTTTAGGTGAGGATTATTAATTGAGATGACCAGCAGCTTCCTGAGCAGGGTCTCCTAAACTAGACCCCTGGTGTTTAGATATTTCTTCATTTTGAGGGGCCTGCATTAGTTGCTTTACTAGTTGGTCTACAGGATATGTGCCTAAAACAAATAAGAAGAGAAGTACATTTTTTGACTCATGGTATTTCAGTCTGTGGTGCTGGAGAAGGATTGGTGCTGGGTTCAATCCTCTGTGAAGGGGGTATGCTGCAGCTCCTTTTTTTATGGCACCTGCCAGGATGCAGAGAAGTAGGCTCAGTCTAGAACCTTCCAAAGTCTACCCTCCCCTGCTCCCTTCCTAATGGTTTCACAATCCCTCCTCCCTCCAAAAAAACATGTCCCTCACTAGGGCAGAGTATTTAAACACCTGAGCCCAGGGGAAACATTCCCCAGTGCAGCACAACACGAGTTGTCATTGGCTCTTCAACAGTGTGCCTGGCTCCTACCCCTTAGCTACCTGGTCTCAGAAACTTCCTCTCTATTGTTTGACAATAAGTTATGCTTCCGAGCATTGCCCCGTGGGAAAAGGGGGGCAAATCACACTTAGTTGTTAACGCTCATTCATGGTAGACCAAAGGTGGCACTTACATCCTAGTAACACAGGCTGTACCCTGCTTTGTCCCTTTCCTTACTGGTCTTCACCTCTTCTGCTCCTTCCTTGTAAGGTAGGGGGCTGTGTGAACTTCTTTCTAGAACAGTGATCAGTACAAATTTGATTCCATGATAGCCCCCATTTCTCAATTCCTTTTATCTTTTCTATAGTTCATTTGAAGCTCTCAGTGGCAAATGCCAGGCCATTGCTCATATTTGCTCTTCACAAAGTACCCAACAAATCCTTAAGCCAAGTATGCACATTTTTTTAGAAGCCATCAGTTTGCACAGTATGAGGAAACTAGACAGTTGAGTGGTGACACTAATGATTCCCTTAATTAAGTGCTGTTCCTGGGGACTTGAGTGCCTTCCTAGAGGCCCAAGCGTGAAACTCTTGGTCCCTATTGTGGCTGTGTTTAGGAAGTGAAATTCCTCCCAGTCATTGGAGGCATGCTCTTGAAAGACATTGTGGAACTCAGTCCTTCTTTGGGTCTACTTTCAGGCCCTGTTTCCGCACAGGCCCAGGCATGTGCTGCTGCAAAGGACCCTGAACCTCATAGCAACAAAATTACCCAACTGTTGACCAGAACCTGCAAAACTATGAGCCCAATAAACCTTTCTTTTGCTAATGAGTCTATTGCCTTACTTATGCATCATAGTTAGAAAAGCTATCACAGGACACAATGTTCTCTCCTTCCCTCTGTAGAGGGGGACATTACCAGACTCTGAGTGATGAAATCGCTTCTTCAAACACTTTCTACCTGTTGTGTTTATCCTTGAAATCAATTCTGAATAATCTCCTTGAGGCTTCCCATTGGTAAAGTTTCCCTGCCTGGATATATTTTTTGATCATCTTGGAAAAAAACCTGAAGTGCCTTTCACTCTATTAACTTTGATTGTCCAGCATCACAATTAATTTTGTAGGCCTCTCAGCTCATGTAGTGGGACGATTTCATCAGCAAGTTAAATGTAACTTCTTTTCTTCATTGCTTTCCATATTTTGGTGGCTTTTTAGCAGAGAATGGTTTTATAAAAATCCACAGAGCAAAGTAAAGACAATGTAACTATATGGTTACAGGCCTAGGCAGGGGTATCTCTTTTCTCCATTCTCCACAAAGACTGTATATTCGCTAATCTCTTTGATTCTAATACGATTCCTTGAAGTAGAATGCCCCATTCCCTAAGAAGGCCTACCTTGAAGTACAGCATTATCTCAATTTGTAATTACAGGCCTTCTTTATTGGGGTAGAATACCAGGGCCTTCTCAGATCCTGATGTTTTCCTTTAATCAATAAGCGTGTTTGGCTTTGTTCTGGCTTACTGCTGCAACTGTGTTGTCCCAGCTGCACATGTTTTATTGTGTAGGAATTCAATTGAAATCACCATTCATGTTTGCAAAAAGGATGATATTTTATTATTGGCTGTAAAGAAAAGAAATTTCACACTTTATGTAACTGCCCCTTTCTGGTAGAGCATGGTGAATTCTCAGAGTGAGAAACAAATTAACAAACTGTGGAAAGCAAGGCCATGGGGGATTTTAGAGGGTTCTGACAACACTGTCAAACAAGAACTGCTGACTTTTATGTCTCTAAACAACAAGCGTTGAATTCATATTTGAAGAGCACAATCTTTTCATAAATTGAGGGCATGTAGTTGAGAAAGAATAAGGGGCCAGTGACAAAACATGGAACATGAATATGACAGGTTGAGCAACGAGACCAGGTACATAAAGTACAGTTGAGGTGGGGTCTAAAGATGTCTATGGATTCTTCCTTAGTGACTAGGATATGAGCCATGACTGGATGCTTGGAGAGGAACCAGGGAGGTGGGTGTTGGCAGCATAAGAGGTCAGGGGTTCAAAGTTGTTACTAGTTGTTATCAGGTGACAGTGTTTAAATGTTTGTGATGTTAACAAGTGAATAATTATGGAGTAAGGAAGTTAGCCCCTGAGCTAGGATCCTGACGCTGTCATGAACTCACCCATCTTGGACCCACCCATTCTTGAGGCTTGCTTTGTGTTTTTATAATTTTAATGACACATCACGTGTACCCCAGATTGGTCTCCAACTTGCTATGTATCTAATGAGGCACTGAATTGCCGATACCCTGGATTTGATTTCCCAGTTGCTGAAATTTAGGTGGTACCACCATGGCCCTCCACGTTATTTTTTAATGATCTGTGAATTATATGCAAAACATCCAGTGTTGTGACTTTGAGCTTTGAAAGATAGATACAAAGAAATGTTTGGGGCTGAGGATGGCATACTCTCATGCTTTGTGGTCCATGGATGACGTAATAGCCATAGAAAAGGAAAACCAGCATTAACCATGGATACATACCCTACTTTCAGGAGCAAGATAAGAGGGGTTAAGTACAATCTTGAGGCAGCTCAGCAGTAGTTTTTAAAGACTAATTCTGTCCAATGTTTGAAAATGTTATACAGATTAGAAAAAAATAATGCTAGTTTACTATGCAAACAAATATAGCTTTTGTCTAAAATTGCCCAAAGGAGGAGAGTAAAACAATGTAAAAACCAAACCATTGTTTTGGGGACTGTTGAAGGGCTTCTTCCTTCCGCCCACACAAGCGCTTCTCAACCCCACCCACTTTCATTTGTCCACTCACTTGTTTGCTGCTATGTTGTGCTTTGTAAGTTCATATGAAACACACTGTGTTCCATCCATGAGAAGGCATGCATGCATGCCTATGAACAAAGCGTTTCCTCACTCTTCCACACCTACAAAGTGAAGAGATTGCCAAGTTTCTTCCACCTAGCTGTAACTTTCCTGCCAGGTGTGTGCTTTGGTTTATTCCATTTGAAAGTAACTTTGTAGCATGCATCATGCCTTTTGCAACTGTGTAAGGGCAAAAGAAGTTTTCAATGTAGCCATCGGTTACTTTGCTAGCAGAAAAAAAAAATTAAATTTTGGTTTTAGAATTGTGGTGGCCAGAGCATGCCTGCTGCATGGGGAAATGCGAGCTGTGAAAGGCCCTGCAGGTGTATTTATTTTAGGTGCCGGTACGTGGGATAGTTTAGTAAAATGAACTGATTTCCTTTTAATATCCTGTTGCTTATTGCACCTGACAAACAGAAGTGAGGAAAGCGAAGATGTGATTAACATAGATCATATTCCCGAAACATGCACATGGCTCCCATTTTTGCTTATTGTAGTAAAGAAGCATCTTTATGTAACCAATTAAGAATATGCATGACCTCTTAGGATGCAGCCACAGACATATAATGATATTGCCTAGAATTATAGGGCTCTCCTGAAGTCTACCAGGTTCAAGATTCATTGGAGAGTTTTCAAAGACATCTGCTTTAATTATAGGAACATGGTTTCTGATTCATTTAATTCCCTTTCCTACCTAAACTGTACATATAAGTGAATTTTAAGAGACTGTATAAATAAATTTTTAATTATAAAATGATGTTATACAATGCATTATTAATAATAACCAATAATGTATAATGTTTATGCATGAGTCCATCAGAAAGATAACTAATGTGTGTTGAGCCTACAAAAAAGCATAATTTGTCCTGAATTCATGAATGAAGTTGGAGCCACAATACAGGCTCCCGAGTCAAGAGCGTAGTGTGGTTTAGCATGCTATTTAACAGTCAAGAAACATCTTGTACCTATGGCATTTAACAGGTATTTGCAATTTGTTCATCATGTGTGTGATCAAGAATCATATTTTGCAGCAAGCCATGCGGTTGTGAAATTTGGAACAAGACCACAGAGTTGACAGTAGTAGCTTTCCCAGACAGGTGCAGCATAAAATGGCCTAGAGCATCCAAGAAACATGTATGGTCCTTGCATTTGGGCACATGGAACTCTTAGCTCAGATGCATTGTAATAGAATTCCCCGCTGTGGCCAAAAGGACCGACCACCCACGTGCTTCTCTCTCCTTGCCCTAGCGGTAACAGATTTCTGATATCTCCATGGCCAGCTCCAGGCACTCACTGGTCTCATGGCAGGATTCAAAGAGGCTGCAGTCCATGTCACAGGTCAAGTTGCAATCATTGCGTGGATGGTTCTCATCCGAGGCGGAGTAGTACCTGTGGGAGGGGCAGCACAGGTTGATGCATACCGTTTCACATGTGTCCGGGAGCATGAGGAGGCAGTCCCAGAACTGGCAAAAGAGACAGGTGAGGATCAGGGAGGCACACTCCTCTGTTTAAAGAAAGAGAAGGGCAGTACACGTGAATCATTTTTAAAAAATTGTTAGTAGCATTTGAGGGGACGGCATTGCTAACTGCCCTCATCTGATCATTCCAACTTCATGTTACATATACCTACTAGATAATCAGATTGCAACCCATTGTATGGTCAATTAAAATAATAAGATGCATGATGGGAAAGCTGGAGGGGACGCCCAGTTGGTAAAGTGGCTACTGAATAAGCATGAGGATATGAGTTCCATCCCAGCACCTGCCTACAGGAACATGTACGTGCATACATGCCTGCATGCTTGTGCACACCATACATTTACTGTGACATGGGACAAAAACCATAATAAAGATGGAAAATTAGTGTTAACACATAAAGGAGTGTCACTCAAATATAGATAGATATGGAGATGTGTGCATTGTAACTATAAAGTCACCATGTTAGCGTGTGTGTGTGTGTGTGTGTGTGTGTGTGTGTGTGTGTGCTTGCCTGTGTAGACTGTTGTGGAAGCCAGAGTTTGACACTGGGACGTCTTCCTCAATTGTTTCTCCACATTATTTTCTGAGCTGGCCTCTCTCCCCGAACCTGGAGATTGCTATGTTGGTGAGCTAGTGAGCCCCTGGGATCAACGTATCCTCGAACTTTGCCAGGTCTAGGATCAGGTGTGACACCATGTCTGACTTTTTTGTTCAGGCCCAAGAATCTGAATCAGGTCCTTATGCTTGTACAGTAAGTTCTTCACCCTCCCCAGCCAGAAGAGGTGGTGTGCATAGCTCGTCTGCCCAGCTCCGCCCCCGGCCCACCACTCACTGTTTAAGTAATCATGTTGTTAACTTCCTGAGCATTCCCTATTGATTCTGCCTAATCAAGTTACTTAAACCGTGCTGTCATTTTGTCCTGAACCTCTTGATTGAGTTTGCCTGTGAGGTGCTGGGAAGGCTCTGGATGAGCTACTTGTCTCTGCAACTCTCTGAATGACAACAGGCCTTTCCCAAATGCATTGGCTCAGAAGTCATTAGAGCCGGGGACAAGGAGAGACCACAGATGTCCCAATGCTTGTCACCATGCTTCCAGATACATTTGACATGGTCTCCCATAAATCCACCACAACCATATCCAAACATGAGGGGAAAGCATAGTTCCAAACTTTATTGAAATGCTGTTTAAAATAGTCACAGCTCTTTGCGTTGTGTTTTATTTTAGTTCCCGTCTCCATCTTCTTGTAGTCATGGAAAGCCTTGATTTCATATTCGAGTTGTTTAAGTAGAGAGCCTCGTCATCTCTTGCCTAAGAGGTTTTAAATCTTATCAGTTGCCTTTAAGAAAATTGGTTTAAAAATTTACTGTGAGGACTTGTTAAAGAATCTGGAAAGCATCTCTGGGGTACCAAAGGTAATTGGTAATTCTAGCCAAACAGCTGCGATGGGTTATAGATTATTATATATTTCTGCTCCATAAAGGGAGTTAGTTAGAATGATGTTGCAATTCTCTTGTTAAATTTATATTTTGTGTGTGCGTGTTTTAGATGTCTCAAAAATGTAGGGCTTTTTTGGTAAAAAGACAAGGTAATAATTTATATAATCCAATTAATAAGTAATCTGAAAGTTGTTGATGGTTCAATGTTACAATTCCAGCATGAGTTGGGAGAAATTTCTCCTCCAGATGGATTTACCAGTCCTTAAAATTTGGTTTTATAAGAAACCATTGTTTCAATAAGCATGTTAGTAATTTTGTGGTTTTCTCACTATAGCCTATGACATTCAGGCATACATAATAGACTTCTCTTAGCACTAGAAAAGCTGAGGCAGGAGAATGGGCCTTGAATGCAGTCACATGCTCCTCAACCTGTTTTCTTTTGATGGGGTGCTGGGAATCCAAACTCGGGTCCTCATGCTCACTTGGTTAGACCCTTACAAACTGATTCACTTCCCAAGCACGGTCTTGTTCTTTCATTGTTCACAGATTGGGTACTCTCCAAAGGAAAGGCAAACTTAGAAACAGGCTCTTAAAGAAAGGAGCAAATATTTCAAAAAATGCAGGTTTGCACTGTTCAGTGTTCCAAAGTGAAATCTGAGTGTAGGTACAAGGCATTCTTCTACCCTCCTGTTCTTCCCATTTCCCCCTTTCTCTCTTCTCAGAAAGGTGGTGGTTAACACACACACACACACACACACACACACACACACACACACACACACACACAACTTTTACAATGAGTTTAACTGTCATGCCTCAGCATTCATGGCACAGGTGGCCTGCTCTCTGATACCTCTGCAGCAGGCAGCCTCACTCATCTCTCTGCCAGGCTGGCTGTAATTTTATTCACTTAATGCCAGCTTCTAGCATATGGCCAACTCACTCACCTCTCATAAGTCACCACAAGCTACCCACAAAAATTCAGAGTAAGTTCATAATAGTTCGTGGACTCCATTCTGCCTCGGCCTTTCTGGAGAGAGTGTGCCAGTGGTCAAGGATGTGTAGCACATAACCTCATTTGATTTTACCCATGCCAACTCTACCTTTATCAGCTCCTGGCGGAGAAACTATTCTCAGTAGAAAATACTCCAAGTAAATTCTAGACACAGTTCTTCAGACTGGGGCCTCAAAAGGCTGTGATCCTACGAAATTGATCCCATTGAGTCCTGCCTTTTATACATGAAGCTGAAAGTCTGGTTTGGATTGAGTCGAAAGCAGGCAACAAGGTGACTGTAATGTTTAAAGTTGGAGATTCTTACTAGAGTATGAAAGGCCTGCTTGTAGAATGGCTTTGTAATTTCAGGAGGTCATATGACCTTTTGATTTGCTAGTGTCACCTCCAGCTGGCAAACTCTGGAGGCCTCTGTTTCTGGTGTACACCCTAGATTTTATTTACCCAACGAGTTTGGGCTTACTCCTTTGGCTGAATTGGCATTTGTTTCCTTCCATCTTCTATTTTACACTTGAGAATAGAACACTGCCCTCCCATCACACCCCTGTTTTTAAGTCTGTCCCATTTATTTGGTTATAAAAGGCAGAACCTCTTGCTGAAGAAAAGCACGGTAACATTAATGAATTGCAAACAGATTTTTCTTAACTTTCAAGTGTGCACTGTGCTTTCCTGAAAGGCATATTAAAGAATACTACAGCAGCAGGCTGAACTCTTTTGCATATGGCCATTTTGTTTGCACAAAAGTAATGTAAGCAGTTCAGAAGAAATTTTACAACTGTTTGAAGAGTCCAGGACTTCCCGTTCTCCAGATTGAGTATATTTTTCTTTCCTTGTAGCTTCCTGGGCTGTAGTATTTAAGAAACATGATATCCAGAGCCACAGCTCAT